AGAGAGAGAACACACACACACACACACACACACACACAGAGAGAGAGAGAGAGAGAGAGAGAGAGAGAGAGAGAGAGAGAGAGAGAGAGAGAGAGAGGCCCTGGTGGATGTCGTTGGGTGTAATGAGAGTTTGCCGGTGCCAACGAAGGCCCTCGGCTCGTTGGCTGCAGCGACGATTAGGTGGTACCAACGAAGGGACGGACAAGGCTACAATTTTGAAAGGCTGGTCCCAAGACATTACGGCAAGTCGGGCCATGGCCATGTCTGGGGCCTTGGTCCAGACACAGCTGCGACACCCATCCTTTTTAGGGGTATAGCGGCAATTCTCCGAGAAGAATCAAGGGCAGAGAATCACACTGCAGAGTTGCCGTGAACGGAACAAGAGAAAATTGAAGATAGCTATCGGCTCTTCGAGGTGTGTCGACGGACCTGCTTTCTACCTTCCTCGGACTCTCTCCCCCCTCCCCCTTACTCTCTCGCTCTTCTCGTCTGAGGCCATACTCTTTCCTTTTGCCCCGAATCTGGCTTTAATGGAAGTCAAATACGTCCTCAGAAAACGATAACGTGTGTGTGGGCTCTTATTCCCTCATCCTCTGCTCCCCCTTCTCTCCTCATCTTGGATCTTTTTCGTCCCCTTTCTCTCCTCCTCTTCCTCCTCCTCTTCCTCCTCCTCGCGCCCTTCTCTCTCTCTCTCTCTCTCTCTCTCTCTCTCTCTCTCTCTCTCTCTTACACTCACATTTTCCGCGTGGTTCTGATATTCTTATGCTCTCTTGGTCTTCCTGCCGCCTGCGCTTTTTTTTTTTTTTTTTTTTTTTTTTGGCTGGGATTCGCCTGCCTTCTCTGAGAGCAGTCATTCTCAGTTCTCCCCAACCTGTCACCGAGGCTAATCCCCTGCCATACTTCGATTTAATTATTATTGATATATGAATAATTATTATAATTAATAATATTTTATTCTAGCCTACCAGAGTGGCCTAGATTTTATTAATATGATTAATTTACAATTTATATTATTATTATTATTATGATGCTGCACGACTCCGATGTGCCATACTTTGATATATGTGCGCCTTGAGAACGAAGTAATCGTTCCACGCCATCTTCCCCCCAAATCGCACGTTCATTATCAATGTGTCCTGAGATTTGCCCCAAATACAGCTATGATGACCACGGCTTCTGTTTGGGGGAAGACGGTAGCCTCTGTTTTCGTTTGTCTATTATTATTGTTATTATTATTATTTATTACTGTATTATTATTATTATTATTATTATTATTATTATTATTATTATTATTATTATTATTATTCTGCTGCGCGACTTTAATGTGCCATACTTTGATTGATCTCCGCCTTGAGAACGAAGCAGTCCTTCCACACCGTCTTCCCCCCGAATACAACGCACAGTCGTTATCGGTGTCTCCTGCGAGTTGCCCAAAATACAGATATGATCACCGTGCGTTCTATTCGGGGGGAAGATGGTAGTGTCTGATTTCTTTCCCTCGCCTTTCCCCCCTCGATCCCCACTCCCTCTTCTCCACTCCCCAACCCTCCCCC